TAAAAAACTTTTCACTAACTATAATTTTTTAATCTGAAGATTTACTTTGTGGAAATTTTATATTTTTGCGATAGCATTAAAATATTCTATATCTAGTGTAAATTATTAATAATATAAGAAGCTAAGAGGTAATTTTGCTAGTAAATTACAAATTTAGTTTCTTACTAGCACTATTAATGAGGTTTTTTAAAAAAAAACTACTAATTTTTCAAATTTTGTTAAAAACTTCGTTAATACCTTGTTAATAGTGCTAGTAAAAAACTAAATTGGTAATTTACTAGCAAAATTACCTCTTAGTTTCCTATATTATCTATATTATTAATAATTTACACTAGTTAGAATATTTTAATATTATCGCGAAAATGTATAATTTCTGCAAAGTAGATTCTTGATTTTCTTATACTGATAATCAAAAAATGATAAATTGCTATTAATATTATGATTTATCATTATTTGATTATCAGTATAAATCGAATAAGATTTTGTGAATTTATATATAATAATTACCTCTGAAATTTCTTTCCCATATAGTGTAATTTCTGTGCATCCTGCTGCACGAAATATTGCATGCCATATCCACAATTCATAGCTTCAGAATTCATGATTTGGTCTATAAATTTTTTTAATATGGGTATGAAGTTCAATTATATTACTTTTTTGTTTTTTTCAACTTTGAAACACCTGATTCTATTCTTCTTTTGATTTGCTAACTGCTTTTTTTAAATGTAATTCAAATAGATGATTCATAATAATTTCATTATTCCAATCTGCAGGAGTACATTTATCAGGTATAAGTATTTGATAACAAAATTTTGTTTTATATACTTGTTCTAACTGATGTAAAGTTGTGGGATGATTTATTGCAAATAAACTATCACCAGAAATAGATTTTAAAATTCTAATTTGAAGCCAAACAGCATTGGGTGAGTTACTTTTATATTTACCAACAATTTTACTATCCTGATAAATTGTAATTAAATATGAATTATCATTATTAATACATTGGGAAAATACAGATTGTTTCACTTTAAATTTATAAAATAACGCTGCCTTATAATTGCAACCAACTTTATTTGGGTTTGAACATATAATTTGACCAAGTGAACTTACATAAATAGCTATATTTTCTAATTTAACAATAAAAGGCTGAAAAACAACATCTTTTAACAATTTTTCTGTAGTTTTAATTTGATTTAAACCTAAGTATGCAAGTTCCGAAAATTTTGTTTTAGTACCAAAAACAGTTTGATAAACAGATGTTAATGCCATAGAGGTACTTGTAACTATACTGCTACTTTGCCCGCTATCTTCACAAATATAGCCTGGTTGTAGTAGACTATGTATATTGCAAACTACACAGATAATAAAAGGTTTTTTATTAAGTTGAACCATTATTTCAAGTTCTAAATGAATAGGAATAGGATAAGCTTGATTGTTATAATTATCTTCTGAAAAGATCTACCAATCTTGTAAGTATGCACTGTAGTGAAGCTCTGGAATAATATAACCAGTTTTAACTAGTTCTCCAGGAGTTATATACGTACTTTACATTTTATTCTTAGAGGAAACAAAGATTTATAAT